ACTCTAGAGCCAGAGTCCTTAACTGCCAGGTTATCCTGTCTCAGGGAGAGTATACACAAACACCAAGGCCCATGTAAGCTTGAAGCTGCTAGGGCCATCTGGTGCCAAGTGAGAGAAGCACCCTACCCCCAAATGAATCGTATGCAGGAAACGGAGAGTTGAAGGGAGACAGAGAGGAAGACAGAGAGAGAATGAGAGACAATATGAGAGAGAGATGATTATTTTATTGTTTTTGTTTATTTATTTAAATCCTTGGGAGAATACAAAGCTAGAAACTAACTTTGGTCTTTCTAATTATACAAGGACATAGAGTCTTTTGTCATTTATAGTTATGTGTTCTTAACCAGAAGGTTAACCCACAATTGTATACAAAGTTCTTTGCATATAACTTTAAAAGAACCATAAAATAGTTTTGTTGGTTAAGAGACTGTTGAGAACTGAGAGCAAACTGAGGGTTGATGGGGGGTGGGAGGGAGGAGAGGGTGGGTGATGGGTATTGAGGAGGGCACCTTTTGGGATGAGCACTGGGTGTTGTATGGAAACCAATTTGACAATAAATTTCATATATAAATAAAAAAAAAAAAAAGAACCATAAAATAATGTATAGGCCTATCTCTAGGAAGAATCTCAAAAGAGACCTTGATTCTACCTAAGTGTCATGTATATAATAGCATCTCAGTCAAGTCTCCTCAGCTAACATAAGGTGGGACACTTACAGCAAGGCAGTTGCCATGTGGCTAGCTTATGCTAACATGGGTCTATCCCTGGAGCTATACTTCTATGAAGCAGATACACTAGTTCCTATATTAAGCCAGGTGCCACAGTGCCTAAAATCCCTTCATAAAAAAATTATCAATTATAACTTCTAATCATCTTTTAAAATGCAAAGTGAGTTCTTACAAAATTAAAAACGCATGCTTGAAACGTAAGTGCCCGTCAATGGACGAAGGGGTAAAGAAACTGAATGCACTAAATACAACAGAATATTATTCAGTCATAAAAAAGAAGGAAATCCTGCCACTTGTGACAATGTGGATGGATCTTGAGGGCATCATGCTAAGTGAAATAAGTCAGAGAAAAACAACTACCGTATGATCTCACACGTGAAATCTAAAAAAAGAAAAGAAAAAGAAAAAAAAGAGAAAAAATGAAATTTATAAGTAAAAAGAACAGATTGGTGGTTTGCCAGAACCGGGGGGTAGGGGGTGAGTGAAGTGGGTAAAGGGGGTCAAAAGGTTCACACTTCCAGTTATAAAATAAATGAATCCTGGGACGTAACGTATATCATGGTGACTACAGTTAATAGTACTGTATTGCATATTTGAAAGTTGCTAAGAGAGTAGCTCTTAAAAGTTCTCAGCACAAGGAAACAAATTTGTAGCTATGTATGGTGTTGGATGTTAACTAGACTTATTGTGGTGATCATTTTGCAATATGTACAAATATCGAACTATTATGTTATATACCCAACACTAACATAATATTATATCAATTACATCTCAATTAAAAAAAAAAGGAAAACGCACATTTATGGCATCTCTTTCTCCAAATCTCACTAGAATGATGGCTTCTCAGTCCTGGTTCTGTTTGTCTTCAGACCCATTTTCTTGTTCCCTTGTTCTGTCCTGCTTTATTATGCAAAAAGACTGCCTTCTGCTAGGCTGGGTTTCCTAGGTTTCCGCAGTTTAGCAAATAGAAGCACTGGTGGGAGACTGAAGACTGGGGAGAAATGAGAAAGTAGAGGATTTTTCTCTCTGTCTGTCTGCCTCAGGTAGTGAACCTGGCAATGGCTGGGGTTCCAGCTACAACTAGACAGATCTACTATGGTTCCAGCTTCACCAGGTAACCCTGGCCTTTGGGCTCAGGTAATACCACCAATCTCCCTTGGCTCTCAGCCTGGGGTAACAGAATTGATCATTTACAAAGTTAAAAAAAGGAAAAGAAAAAGAAAAAAAAAATCTCCGTAAAGGATGAGTTTGGAAATGCGTTTTCATTCCACAATGAAAAGAATTAGACAGAAATAGAATCCAAAAAGAAAAGACTAAACTCCAAAAAGTAAAAATTTAGTTTGCTATACTTCTGCACATGAGATGTTGTTGAAAATGAGCCATTTCCATACTTAGGTTAATTCAGAGTACTGCCTTTTAAGTAATATTATCCAAGGATAGGCAAAAACAGCCTACAAAACAACTCTGAAGTAAGTGAGGTTTGGCATGGTGTATGTCATCTCCCACTTTGACAATGCCTACAACAATTTAGAATCCAGTGCCCCTGATGTCATTAAGGAAGGTGACATGTTAAAATTACCAATGCTGCATGGTTTCATATGTTATCTCTTACAGTTTACAGTTTATCTTATTTAGAAATGTAGTCATCTCCTGTACAATATAATGGTGAAGTGATTTCAGCATTTAGTCTGTCCTATCTATTCCCTGTCACTTCTGTGTTAGTACCCAGTGAGATAGGCTGCCAATCTTTGCATATTCTACTTCTGTTGCAAAGTCAGTTGCACGTTATTTTGGACTTTCAGTTTACTCTATGATTGTGTCTTTATTCAATATACGTTTGATTGCTATACAGGTCAAATATCATCCCATATCAAATTCCCTTCTTCTTCAGGGCACCTGGATGAATTATATTTCCCTCCCCTCTGAAGTTAGACAACAGCATGTGACTAATTCCAATCAATGAATGCTATTTTCTTTTTATTTTTTATTTTTTATTTTTTTTTTCAACGTTTATTTATTTTTGGGACACAGAGAGACAGAGCATGAACAGGGGAGGGGCAGAGAGAGAGGGAGACACAGAATCGGAAACAGGCTCCAGGCTCTGAGCCATCAGCCCAGAGCCCGACGCGGAGCTCGAACTCCCGGACCGTGAGATCGTGACCTGGCTGAGGTCGGACGCTTAACCGACTGCGCCACCCAGGCGCCCCAATGAATGCTATTTTCAAAATATCCATGTAACAAAAAAGATGTAAAGCCCCAGTTACTTGGCACATCCATTTCAAGAAGTATTCTATTCAAACCCAGTACCATGAAATAATATAATTTTTGAAACTTATTGTGATGAAATTCCTACTAACTCATCAGACTGTGAGCTCTTTAGGACAGAGCTCGCCTGGAACCCACAGGCACTAGATACTTAATAAGTAAATGAATGAATGATTGTGTGACTGAATGAGTGACCACAATTTCAATATCATGTCTTATTTAAATCATTCTTATCTCTCCTCTGGGTTCATTCGAACACGTCACCAATTTAGGAAATTAACCTTAAAAAAACCAGTTTATTCCTCAGTGAGGCTAGAAACAATATTCTGGCTTTTCAAAGGTTGGCATGCAGTCTAAGAAGGAAATGCCAGTGAGTTTTGCTTTCTGTTTCTGAACACTGTAAAAAGATGGGCCAGGAAGTGCATGCAATTTTACATTTGAATGTAATTGTGGTTTTCTTTCTCTGTTTGGGTTTGGTGACTTGAGGCTGTAATGGACTGAATGTTTGTGTCCCCCCAGATTCATATATTGGACCCCTAACCCCAGTGTGATGTTATTTGGAAATGGGGCCTTTGGGGAGGTAGTTAGGTTTAGGTGATGTCACGATATTAGACTCGGTGGAGTGCTGATAATGGGGTTAGTACTCTGATAAGTAGAGGGAAAGATATCAGAGCTGCCTCTCTCCCTCAAGTGAAGACACAACAAGGAGGTGGCTGTTTACAAGTCAGGAAGAGGGCCCTTACCAAGAACCAAATGGACTGGCACTTTGATCTTGGACTTTCCAGCCCCAGAATTACAATAAATGTCTGTTGCTTTAGCCATCCAGTCTATAGTATTTTGTTATAGCTGCTCAAGCTAAGACAGGGCCAAATTCTCATCTTCTCTCATTTAGAAATGCAATATTATTTGCATGTCACAGCCTTGCTTTCAGTAGGCAGCTTAAGATTCTGCTGCCTCTTTAGGGAAATTAAGCAACATGTCCATTCAATGATCAGCCTGACTCTTCAAGTATTTTCTAACTTCGGCAGTGAGGGTCTGTTCAACCACCATTGGTTGCAAGGCACTGTTTGCTATTGAGCTCCAACGTAGGTACGCTGCTCTTAGGTTTGAAACAATGCAAATAAATGGGAACTTTCACTAAATTCTAACAGCTTCTAATTTAAAAAATAGAGAGCTCAGTAATTCAGCCACAGATTTATTTTTAAAAATGCTCTAGATCATAGTAAAACCCATATGAATTTTTTCACTTTTTTCACATGGTAAATAGAATTATTACATTGCCCTGATTTGCATCTTCCTTTAAGAGCAAATGCATTTTCCTAGAAATATGGCATTTTGCATTGGCAAATGGTTGCCACTTTAAACACTATTTAAGAAGTTTACTTGAAATTTCGTCTTTTTTTTTTTTTTAAACATTTATTTATTTTTGAGACAGAGAGAGACAAAGCATGAACGGGGGAGGGTCAGAGAGAGAGGGAGACACAGAATCCGAAACAGGCTCCAGGCTCTGAGCTGTCAGCACAGAGCCCGACGCGGGGCTCGAACTCACAGACTGCGAGATCATGACCTGAGCCGAAGTCGGACGTTTAACCTACTGAGCCACCCAGGCGCCCCGAAATTTTGAAGTCTCACATCAGAATGCTGACTATTAAGTAGCAGTCTGTTATATGCAATGCCTAATGAAAGTCTGCTGTCATAATTCAATGAAGTTCAGTTTTTGCATCATTTTGATAAATTTATCCCGCTTACCAGCTTCGCCACAAATCATACCTAATGGTTGTCATGTGAAGTCAGTAAAATATCATATACCTTCTGATGACCTCTTTCCAAAAGTGCTTTTCCCTATTCACATTTTATCTGTCAAATAGCATTTTCCTTAAGAAGTAAATATAAATGCCATTATTGGGAGAAGCTACTGGCCTAGGACAAGTTCTAGCATTTAGTGTTCTGACATCTTAATTTGGATATCAGCCAAAGTCAATAAAACTTGTTCATGCAGAACCTTACCTGGTTTTCACCACATCGAGGGGGTGCATCAGGCAAATTTCTACAAGACCTGAAAGACGATAAAGAAAAGTCCAATAAACACTTATGTAAACACTAGTTCTTGTTTCCTTGACCCCATTGATTTCTCAAGTATGAAGATTCAAATAAAACTTGGGGCTTTGGAAATGGCAGCTCGTAGTCAGAGACTAGTAGCAAAAGGCAAAAGTATGAGTGCTCTGGCACAAGCATGGAGGTGGGGCTGTAGGGGAAAGAAAATGCAAAAGGAATCAGATGTCCAAAATTCCAATCATCTAGGCAGGAACTATTGTGTACCATTCCAGTCCAATAAATAAATATATGTCAACGGAAAGGAGGAAAGAAAAGAAGGAAAGAAGGGAGAGAAGCTTGGTTTCAGCACTTCTACTGCCACTCACTAACATGACAAATCATAGCATCAATCTCAGTGTGCATGAAATAAAGATAATGATGTCTTTTATCTCCCTGGGTAGGTACAAGGCTCCAATGCATATTTAATACATTAATAGCTTAATAGAGAATATATATATTAAGTGTTCTTTGCATGCTAGACAGTATTCTAAGCAGTGCCTAGTTTATCTCATTTAATCTTCACAAGAGCTTGCTGGGTAGCAGGTATTATTATTCCCATTTTACAGATGAGATCATTGAGGCACACAAGGTTAACAACTTGTCTAAGATCTCACAGCTAAGAAGTATGCAGTAACCTCATAAAAAGCCCATGATCTTAACCACTGCACACTTAGAATTTCTATACCTTCTTGCAAATCCATTGTAAAGCCCTCCTGCTGTCTAACTGAGCAGAGAAGACTGCTCAATTACAAACTACTGGCATGTAACAATAGTAGCAGTAAAAATAGTATTATGTACTAGCGGTAGTAAAAATAATGACGGCAGCGATGGTCATTTAACACACAGTATCACAGGTATGCAAAACTACTAAGCAAGGTGAGTATGTATTATCTTCGTCTTTACTTGAATATAAGCAAACTGAGGTTGACAGTGTTGGTTGATTTGCCCAAAAGCCATATTATTTGTGGGTAGTTTCTTTTTTTTTTTTTTCAACGTTTATTTATTTTTGGGACAGAGAGAAACAGAGCATGAACGGGGGAGGGGCAGAGAGAGAGGGAGACACAGAATCGGAAACAGGCTCCAGGCTCTGAGCCATCAGCCCAGAGCCCGACGCGGGGCTTGAACTCACGGACCGCGAGATGGTGACCTGGCTGAAGTTGGACGCTTAACCGACTGCGTCACCCAGGCGCCCCTATTTGTGGGTAGTTTCTTAAACACAGACCACTTACCACTCTTTCCATTTGCAAACTAACTCAATTTGAGCTTAGCTGTGCTTTAGTTCACCTTCCCCATTCCATATTTATATATACAAACGTCTCTTACTCCCCACACTGGTAAGGTCCAGTTAGCCCAAAGTTCTTATGTATTGACCCAAAACAACTGTCTTCCTTTGGCTGAAACTAACAGGATCCAATATTAATTCCTGTGCCACAGGTTTCCCAGCAGGAATGCTCTTTAGTGGTTGGTAACCAAATCACTGACCCAATCAGTCCCATTGTCTAGAGATGGGAGGAGAACGATGTAGGACAGCAGAGGCAACAGAATTGCTAGGCACAATAGTAAAGCCACTGGGCACTGTTTTAACTTCAGAATAAAATCTGTTACTCAGGATTGCATGGGTGGGTTTCTTACTTGCAACCAGGAAAGTCTCAGTACATTTCCTCTTGCTTTAAAATTCACATTCACCTTGAAGTAAGAATCAGGTGACCAGAGTTCTCATCCTGGTGCCTTCAGGGAATGAAAACTTACCCCTGAGGACATCAGTACCTTACCTATAAAGGGAAAAGTTAAATGGTCTATCGTACCTTTAAGGTACTATATGTTTTACTTATAATTCTAACTTAAATGTTATTACATTAGCTAGAAAAGGATAAAGCTCTAATTTCATAAATAGGATTTACCCTGGAAACTGAGACGTATAAAATATAGTTCTTACCAAGCAAGAAGCTTCTATTAAGTGCACTTATGTGCATCTCATGAGCATAAGGTAGTAAGATACTCAGAATCAGCTTAGCAAAGCAAGGACACAGTTTCTCCTGCTAACGTGGCATTAGAAAAGAAGCAACATGTTAAACACCAAATAGCACTAGTTGATACATTTCTCAAAAAATTTACCACAGGAACTAACAATCCCAACAACTTATTAAAACCAGTAACAGAATTCATAGAATCTATTCACATTTATCTATACCTATTTGCAAAATTTTCCTCGTTTCCTGTTTGCTAATGGGCATTTCTGGTAGTAAGTAGGTAACTACCTTAGATTGTTATAGTTTTCTTTTCCAACCTCTAGTATGCACCAAAACATTTATTTTTTCCAACAAGCTTACATTGGTTGTCTTTTATGTGTCTGGCATTGAGGATAGAGTCTAGTGAAGGGAATGGACACACAAGAACAAACAATAATGCACGGGAGGAGGTGCAATGGTCAGAGTTTATGGGAACACAGCAGAGAGAGGCTCCTGATACGGCCTGGAGTTGGGTGAGAGGTGGAAAGGGATTCGAGGCCGAAAGAGGACAGAATGAGCATCAGGCATGGAGGAGACACTGCATACAAAAAGAAGGAAAGAGGAAAGAACAAGATAAGCATTGCAGTAGCTGAGGGTTGAAGGCAGGACATGGCAAGAGATGAGGCTGTAAGTGTATAGGTCAGGGTCAGATTCATGTTCAGGCACTTGTAATTCATCCTACAGGCCATAAAATGCCAGTGAAAGATATTCTTAAAAAATAGCTCTTTGGTTGTTTTTTCTTATTTCTTAATGTATCCATGTTTATTGAAGACATTCTGAGGGATTTTACTTTATTTTATTTTAATTTTGAGAGAGAGACAGACAGACAGACAGAAAGAGTGCAGGAGCGTGAGCAGGGGAGGGGCAGAGAGAGAGGGAGAAAGAATTCCAAGTAGGCTGTGCTCCGTGAGGACAGAGCCTGCAGTGGAGCTCAAACTCACAAACAGTGAGATCATGACCTGAACCAAAATCAAGAGTTGGACGCTTAACTGACTGAGCCACCCAGGCACGCCTATTTTATTTTATTTTTAAAGTAGGCTTCATGTCCAGAGTGGAGCCCAACACAGCACTTGAACTCACGACCCTGAGATCAAGACCTCAGCTGAGATCAAGAGTCAGATGCTCAACTGACTGAGCCACCCAGGTGGCTCATATTGAGAGATTTTAAGAAGAAGTGAGATATTAGTCTCTGTTAACATGCTCTCCCAACAATCTAATAATATGTCTACTAATCCTCCCACTGTTCCCAATCACACATTCACATGCAAACACATGAGCACTGAGGCTCCAACTGCTACCCTTTGGTTACCAGTAAAAGCATCATCTCTCATCAGAGCATAGATGGCCCAATGTCTCATGTACCTGTAATGCCCATCTATACAGCTACCTACTAAATTGTAACTTGGCCAATAGGAAAGTAGGACTTAAATTATCAAATGTAATTTGTCCAGAATCTCTTGGTTGTTCATTCATTGTCATCTTTAATCAAAACAAGTAATCTTGAAGAATTCAAGTGAGCAGCAAAATGCATCATAAGCAGAAAGGACAGATATGTTGGCAATGATATGGAAGTTTTGGTTTTCAATCAGAGTTCAGAGTTAAATCCAGATTGACTCAGGGTGAGAATGGCTGGTTGTTGGGTTGTTGTCCTCTACTGAGTAGCTAGGGGCTGTGAGATTCTGATAATTATTGATGGAAATAACCATAAAAGTAGAACAAGATGAATCATGTTGTCATAGGCCTAGATGTGACCCCTGGAAACTGAACTGTACTGTGTACTATTTGGCAATTCTATTATCTAGGATGAAGTCATTATCTAAATAATGGGTTAGAGGACACAGATTTAATGATTTCTCTTTTCTCATAAAACTCAAAGTTTAACATAGGCAAGAAGATGACTTTGAAATTGCCAACTCAAGACACACGAGTCTGAAAACAAATGAGACCTAGAAGTTTTGCTCTCACAACTTAGCATTTATTAAACTCACCAGCCACAGATGAACACAAAATAAAAAGGTTCAATCTCCTCAACCAATGCATAATACAAAAATGGTATTGTTAACTATCAACCATGGAACCAGTTTCCTTGGAAAAAAAAGGTTATAACTTCATGATATTTGAGAAGGAATATGAAAAAGAAGTGAGAACCTACATAATTATAGATTTAGACCAGAGCTTTCCTTATAACTCTTTCTGGTTGTTTTTCAAATTAAATTATGTGCTTGATCTTCAAACCAGAAAAATAGACACTTTAGAGATAAAATATCTTCAAGATAGGTTTATTTTTAAATGTATTGGACTATCTGCATCTTTTATTCATTTTGTGGATAAAAAGCATAATCAAAACTTAACCAAATATAGTAAAAACTGTATAAAAACATGTTTAAAAAGTACATTTTCCAAATAACATGCTATATATAAGGAAGTTCAAGATATTTCATTTGTTATTTTTGAGGCAATTGCTTATTTATCACAGTAACAAGCTAGCAAGAATTGCTATTAGATTTATTTAAATTAGATAAAAGACTAATTTTATAAGGCCAGAATTTATGAAAATTAAGAAAGCCCAAAGCAGATTGATATTGTGAATTTATCATATTGTAAATGTTTTCATTGTTCTTACAGATCCATGCCACTTCAGTGACCATGACCATTTCTGTATGATTCAAATGAAACTGGTAATGTGACCCAGTCATGAGCACAGAAAGGTATGGGCTAGCCCCTGAACCTTACCTTGGGGTTTCCCCTAACTGCTCCCTTCTTTCAACTGGCTTACATACATGATTTCACCTGAGCCAGTATTGCTGGAAAAGGACTAACATGACCTAGTCATAAACCGTCTCCCAGCCTCCATTTTTTTTTTCTGAATAGGACTCTTGGCCTATTTAACCACAAACTGTACTGAACATGTACCCCATCCTCTTCGTCAGATTTAACCTGAGCCCACATCTTT